TTTCCTTTTCTTTCATATATTGTATGGGAATCGTGCATTTCTATGCTAAATACCCTTTGAAAAACCAAATAATATATTGCACTCGAAGCTTTGTAATTCATCCAGTATTTTTCTTCATATGCATTGTTACATGTCGGATGTTCTTACTATCCGATAACTTTTCCCAATATCCCCGACTGACCATTTTGAAAGAACAGTTTTTGTGATGTTATAGTTGGTTCCAGTTTGCTACTTTCAAAACGTTATTGGTAATCGTTCTATGTCATCTTTCAAGGACTCTATCAAGGCGCAGGCAAGCTCAGTGAAATCGACAATGGTATCCCATCAACAGCTTATTGGAGATGTCAAGTCCATGTTGACGACAATGGCAAAGGTAACGCTTGTGAGATTACAGCTTTACGACCTCCTTTAATTTAGCATAACATTGTTATGCCAGCCGTATGGAACTGTTATGGAAATACAGACAACAGTTCTGTCACTTTTGAAGGGATACTATCACAGTGATTTTGCCGTAGTTTTGGTTACGGCAGTGCTAAAATTATGACTGAGTACCAAAGAACTTGAGAAGGAGCGGTGACCTCATGGATAGTGCGCTCACCTCCGAATCGAGCGATCCGGGTTCGAGCCCTGGCCGGGAATATTGTTCTGTTCTTAAGCAAGACGCTATACGGCTTTACTTACACAGTGCCTCTCTCTACTCAGGTGTATAAATAAATGGGTACCGACAAATTTAATGCTACGGGGTAACCTTGGGATGGACTGGCATCCCATCCAGGGGGTAGTAGAAATACTCCTGGTCCCTTCATGCTACAGAAACCGGAATAAACTCCGGCGTGATGAGCCACTTGGCTTGTATGCAGACTTTACCTCCCTTCCTACCCACCCACCAAAGAACTTGACACATCTGCCAAAGAACATGACACAAGTGTATCTAAAGCCCCACTAAGAACCAACAATCAGACCTCCCTAAACAGTGGTAGAAACAAGAACCATCCAAACTAGAACTCCTCTTTGCACAGCGGAATATACTGAAAACCTGTTAGTGAAGTTTTAGTGTAAGAGGGGTTGTAAAGTAGTATATTTCCTGTTTTTAACTCTAGGATGAGGAGGCTGCGGAATCCCGCCCAGCCAAGCTGTTTATATCCACTCATAACCGCCAATCAGAGGAGTGTGCACAGCTGATTAAGAGCATTTTAGCAGGTACGGAAACTTTGTTAATCTTATGCTATTGTGTGGTGACGTTTGGGGTGATATTTGGTTGAATTTATATATACGAGATCGTTGCTGTTCGGTGTAAGCATTACGCCTTTTTTAGCCCTTTAATCCCCCGAATGGTTTCTTTCTCCTAACAAAGGCAACACATAACTAAGCAAACAGGTGATGAGAATACACTGAATCACAATTTACGAAATGTACGTCCAAATTCCGAAAACTAACATGAAAAGAAATGTAACGCAGTCGGCAAAGATAATCAATATTTTGATCAAAATGGAGGCAAATTTAATCTTGTTTGCTGTTTATGTAGTTTGTAGTGGGAAGATCAGCGATGGAAGAGAGAACGTGGAAGACAACATCACTGAAGTGAAGTCCATGGTGAAGTCAATTAAATCTCTTGTGCAATGGTAAGTTATCTGGTGGTCAAACTGTTTTTAATCGGATGTGACATGTTTTGGTATTACTGTAGTTTCATTGTTCCCTTTTGACTTGCACTAATCCTCTAAACAAACGGATTAAATTATTGTAATAGTGTTAGTTGACTTTCGGAAAGCTTGCGCCCGTTTAACAGTAAAGCGCTACCCACATTCGCTTTATGTTTTGTACCCGCGGGTCCTCCCATTCTGGATCGAATTAGAATTTGGAATTTTGATTTTTAAGGAAGAAGAAAAAATTTGAGAACCCTTAGAAAAACCATCGGTGCCAGGCAGGCAAGCTACATATGACACCAAGCCAGAGTCAGATGATTGCTGAAAGGCGAGCGCTTACCCCAACTGTGGCACTCTTGCCACCCTATACCCATAAACTTCAGTTTGAAAATTTTTAAAGTAATTATTTATTGTCATTGATTATTTTCAGGGTTCACGATCATCTTCTGTCGCTAGCTTCACCGCTTGTTCCTGATGAGTGTGGGTCCAGTGCAGGCAAGACACCTATTGTTGCTCCACCACCCACATTTGCATCAGGTAAAGGAAACTGTAGAAACTAACACTGAACTGACTATTTATAGAGTAAGTTAGTAAACAAAATTTACTCGCACTGGAACCTGGCTGATATGGAAATCAATAGTTCGAACCTCAGTGTCTTTGGGTTCAGCTTCTCTTTTATGAAGGTGTGACGGGTAGAATTTATCATCTCACTGTGCTACTTAACGCTTTTTCATGAGTTTACGCCACATTTGTATCACTTTCCTTCTAACTTACAAGACGTTCGAAAGACTTTGGCTGCTTACAGATTCTGCTATGATGAGCCTCAGTGGCCTGGCATTAGATTAGAAGTCGTTAGTTAAAGCGTTGACTATCGTTGGCACTTTCTTCTCCCAGTACCTCTCTCTCTAACGAGGTGCATGACTGCGCAGCGGCAAATTGCTGAGAGCGGGGGATTGGAGGGGGAGGCATGCAACGGACTAGCATTCCATCCAGGGGTACTTAGTATCATTCACTGTTCAAGATCCACTCTTTCTGTCAGATCCTAATGTGTATGTAAATTCTGCAGCTCTTCGCCAAGGGGGCAACGTTGTCGCAGCGGGTGGAAAGGATTCCCCGGGACCATCCGAAACTGGATCTCCTCACCCAGTCATCCTACAGAGGGACCTTGCAGCTAGTCCGTCAGGTGCTGGCTCACCGACAGCCTCTGTCAGGCTCGTAGCAGCAGCGAGCCCTAGACGAATTTCAACAACAACTCTGGCAAGAGACCCAAGAACCGGCAAAGGTATGGTGTTAATATCTTTTCCATTATCGTAATGTATCGTAATTGACAATTCCGCTATGTCGCCTAGTTGTAAGTGGATTTTTGGAGTCAAACTAGGTCTGGATTTAAGGTCGATCCCAGTTAGTTTTACTAACGACAGGATGGATGTCTTCTGTTGTTTCGTCCTTCAGCTCAGAAGGGTAGAAGATTTTGGTCGATCCAAATAGAATTATTTCTGACAGTCATGGAACTTTTCGTGAACTTTCTTGGCGTAATTTAGTTTGAATCGTGAGAGGTCAAAAGTGTGTGTCTTAAAGGCTAATTGTCGAGTTTCGTGCTCTTATTTGTAGCCCTTCAAGAGCGTAACACTTACGCGATCAGTGTGTGGCGACGAGTCAAATCTAAGCTGGATGGTAGAGATCAAGATAACAAGAAAATGTCTGTTCCAGACCAGGTTAGTAAAACCAAAAGTTTACAAACAGTGTATGATCCGTGAACTGGTGTTCAAAATGCCCAAATATTAATGATTTGAAAATGCCTGTAGACCCAGTCTTATCTTCCATGCATACTGTTCCTCTGATGCTATCATTCTCGAGATCGAATAAGAAATGCTCCTTAGTGTTGCCATAGATATCCTTCCAGTGTTACTTCTGAGAGTGTGGTGTTTCATCGAAAAAATGTCATTTTCCTGCTTGACAATAATTTACTACTGTTAAGAGAAACTTGATTAACTGACAAATGCCCACCTGGACTCACGTTCGACTTGCAAGCAGTTTTTGTAGGGGTCTAACCCAACGTTGTAGTCAACGTTTGTGTCTGAACGTGTTCGAAAACGTTCAGCCCATGTCTGTACTTCTGAAAAAATTAAGACGCCACAAGGCTTCTTTACTACAATCAGGAGTTTACCGTTTATTATTATTATCATCATCATTATTATTATTATTATTATTATTATTGTTGTTGTTGTTGTTATTGTTGTTGTTTTTGTTGTTGTTGTTATATTCAGTATTTTGTTGATATTTTGAGTTATTTTGGCCACGTACAAAATTACCTTTAAATTGAAGGAAACCTGAAAATAATAGTATACTAAGATAGTAAAACACCAAAGAGATAATATTAAACCATAAGGGAACAAAGATGGTTAAGATTGGAGAAGATTAACACGGATTACATATGACGAACTTGAAAAATTTAGGCTAAACTTTTCAAGATGCGCAAACCGTGACATAGCTCTTTTGATTTCATCATTTGAAACCTCTTCCTACAGGTTGACTTTGTGATTCGCGAGTCGCGAAGCGTGGACAATCTGAGTCAGATGTATGAAGGTTGGACAGCCTGGGTGTGATGTCAACAGCACAGGAATATGTGAATAAACATGACCTACTCTTCCAAGAGCTAACAAGGGCCAACCACACCAGCCACCGTAGAAGCATCATAGAAAGCCGTAAGTCGGCGGGCAGCTTTACGAAGGCTACGTACAGTCATGTAGCTAACAACAGCAATTATTTATCAAAGCAGACCGCATGCCACAGATAATACCTTACGATGCTTGCACAACTAAGAAAGATTTTGTTATGGTGGTATTCATGTAAGTGGTTTGGCGACGAGCTTTGTTTAGCAGTGTTTCTGGCATTCGTCGTATGTACGGTAGCGAGAGTAACTTATAAAATTTACCTCTTACCTTGATGGCCTCCCATTCAATCTTTTCCATTTTGCAAAGCGGGAGCAAAGAACAAAGTTATAAGTTACTCAAATGCCCTGAAAGTTAAAGAACGTAGCGCTAAGACGGTTGCAAAGTGTATCGTCGATAGCTTCACATTTGAAGAAATTATTGTAGATCTGTAGAGAGCAGAACGACACCTTACGTAACGATTTTCAAACCTCAAACTTATTACTCAGCTCCTTTATTTGCCAAAAGTGCCCATAGCTGACATACATCTCAGATTTTCTGAAAGGGGCATTAATTAATATTCTTGAGAATGTATCTACAAGTTATTGAAACAAACTAACGTAAAAACCTTCATGGCTTAGATGTGAAAACGATTTTCTGTAAACTGTTAGAAGTACTTAGTGATAAGGAAAGTTGAAACAGCAGTTAGCATTTTAGACAAGGTTAGCGCAAGCGCAGACGTGCGAAATGCGAAAAAACCCGTCCATTTAATGCTTTATCTAATTGGTATGTCACTATTAAGGATGACAATGTCTTCCTTTGCCATCTAAAATTATTAAAAACCAAAATAGCATGATTGCAGCATGCAATAAATTCACCATGTAATGTCATCGCTTATGCTGCAAAATTCCATCTACATGCAAAGCCTTTTGAAGCCTTTGGTGATTTTTTTTTTCAGCTTATTTTTGTTAGTTTATCTTTATTATAGACTGTGTTGCCTTGTTTTGACTTTTCCTGGCTAGTTTAGTGGTTAACACTACTTGTGAATTTCCTTTCTGTTAAATTGATAGTACCTCACAAGGAATTTGGAACACTAAACAAAGAGGCCTGCCAGGGAGTGGGGTGGGGTAGGTCGAAGTAGTACCCATGCCCACTCATTTTGTGATTGATGTTCTTTGATTCGGTCTTAAGGCCCTGTCAAAAATTGGAGACAAAGATCTTACTCTGCACAAATTCAATCAAGCGCTATTGCGGATATTGAAACCTTTTCCCTTGTGGGATTAATCCCTGGTGGAGCCTCCAATTGTACAAGTTTTGCCTCGTAAAGACACCTGTCCATTTACTTTATTTAATTAGTGAGTTAAAAACAAGAACTGGTGAGTTTCAATTTTCTGTTCTGTGTTGAATTAGTTAGCGTTACCTGGCAGTCACTCTGCATATTTATTGTTAGCAGTGTAAACCCTGTTTTGTATTTTTGGCCTTAGTTATACCCTGCCATGAAAGAGGAGGAGGGGTGGAGAGGGCTAGTCCGAATGCCAAAGCAGCCTTGTTGTTTTTGGTCTTTACGTTGTCGATCTCGGTTTGACATTTGCATGTACTTTACTGTTAGACACAGGAAACAATTGTGGTGCCCATGTGGTGGTGTTGCAGTTCAGGCTGTTGCTTGTCGGATTTTATCCTGGCAGGGTTTTATAAGTATTTTTGGCCTTCTTGATCTTAATTTGCAATGAACTTTATGACATTTAATGATTATAGTAACTTGATAATTTGCACATTATTGATGTTTATCTGCATGTACAATTAACTTTTTGAAGGTTTCTGTAATCGGTTGGTAGGTTAATTTGACAATATTCTCTGGGAACAAAACATTCTTGGCGAGATTTTTAATACCTGAACTTAAAAAAAAAAAGAAAAGAAACAATGACAGTTGAATTACGTCAAACGTAGGCAAGAGTATCGACACAAACACCAACAAACTTTCAATCATTTCAAGTTAACTTTGAATCGTAGTTCAATCTAGTCTGAATCTTACCAAACCTTCTAACTTACTGTTGTTTCAACTTTAAAGTTGTTCAACCTTACAATGCTAGAGCTCTAAAGATTTTCGAGTTGTGATGAATTAACGTATGAATTCTAAACTGTTAAGATTGCGTTAACAGGTTGTGATTACATCTGACTCCTTACATTGAGTTTTTAATTCTTACGATTTTTTTCGAGAAGTCACGAAGAAAATTTGTCGCCAGAGATTAGTTTGTTACTTCAAAGTTATGTAATTTGATCGTGTTCATTTTTGCATCTCTTACGTTATAATTATTACTAACCTACTAATGCCTTTGTAAGTTTATGATCGTTTATGCTAATAAAATGTAACCCAAAAAGGTTTGTTTGCGTTTCTTTCTTCCATAGAAATACTTGTGAGCAATCTCGTACCTCGAGTCTTCGTTCCTTACTGCGCATGCTGGAAACGAAACGAGCGATCCCGACCGCTGGTCAAAGGGAACGAAGACGCTGGGCACGAGGGTGACTTGTGAGCAATCTTGTGAGCAATCTCGTTCCAGAGCCCACGTGTCTTTTGGTAAGCGCCAAGACACGGAACCCAGGAATAATCAATTTCAAGACTCCAAGATTTTAGGAGTTCCGGTTTCACGGCGAATGCGTACCTTGGTTTAAAACATGGCAATCTCGTTCCCACAGCCCACGTGTCTTTTAGTCATCCGCCAACCAAAAGACACGTGGGCTCTGGGAACAAGATTGACGTGTGAGCAGCTTGTTAGCTCCGAGCGTGCTCATAGATCGTATGAGCTCGTCGCAGATTGCATGATTGCCCCAAGAGGCTTGCGATACGCGGCAACAACCCTACACTACCCTATCCCTCTCTAAACTGCATCTGGAAAAGGCCCACCAGAATCTTGAAATCATCCAAAGAAGAGATTAAATGTTACAGAGAGAGTCCGGGTGTGATTGACTGTTTCTGGAAAAAGCCCGGTAAAATGTTAGCTCGTCAGAGTTCTACGTTCTGTAATAACTCGAACTCCCAAGCTTAACGACATCTCATCTTAATGTGGACGACTATAGCCATTAACGTTTAGGATTGTACTTACTTCATAGCTTTTCAGATCTACTTTCTTCCCTCGCTCTTTCTCGAACTCGCGCGTGGGTTATCTCGCGCCCTGGACAAAACGTCCCAGCATGCTTTGCAGTCACAGGAAAAGCCGCCAAACTTGAAG